AAAATTGAAGCAGATGAGTTTGGGGAACTTTTTTCTCCTGGTTATATCCCACTGTCATTGTTTGCAGAACTGATGTAATAATTTAATCCTTGACTAGTTGAGAAATGTTGATACACCCACAAGAAAAAATAGATTATATTTCCAATTTGGCTTGTTATTAAAAGTGATTGTCTTTATTTTAATTTCCTTTCTCTTTTGCTGAACTACAAATAGATGCATGTCCAAAAATAAGGATTCACTGGTTTTACTTTCAGAATGTGAAATATCTTTCTGCAGTTTGAATCCAGTGAAATCCTCGCAGGAAGTAAATAGCATAAGCCGTGATGGTAAGAGATGCAATGGGAAGGCACATAATATATTCGGAATATGCTTTCCCATCTATGTAACTTACACAACTGAAGTACAACTCCTCAGAAAATATTAGTGTTGTCACTTGTTCTCCAACTACGGATGGTGATGCGTTCCCTATAATCACTTGAAGATCCAAATAAAAATATTGAAAAGGGCTATTTATAATGAAAGTCATGCACTGTTTGGACAGGAAAGGAGTTTGTTAATGTTTGAGCAGTGAAAAAATATGCTGAGAAGTTGTCTTACTTGGATTTGAGTGTCAAATTAAGTGTAGAACTTCTTTTCAGACTTGATTAAACATTTGCAAGCGTTTCTTAGCTTTTAGAATCAAGAAGGGATAAAATTAAAGTCAAATTGTTAACTCAGGCAATTGGATTTCACTTGCATTTATAGCAGAGCTACTTCCTAACATATTAATTCCTTTATTAAATTTGTTTATTAATGTGAAATATTTCATTTCCATATTAATTTCCATAAACTACTTATGGTAAAACAGTTGGAATTGGCAAGTGTCTTTTGCTCAGCTTCTCTGCATGATGATTGGTTATTTCTATAGAGTCTGTCATTTCAGAAGTGCAAACGCAGTGAAAAGAAAAAGTAGCATCCAAAATTTGTTGCTGGTATCATTGCATGTACTTAACTAGAGCTGGAATTTGTTTTCTTCACAAAACAACATCATGAGTGTTCTTTGTACCTTTATAGGTGTGTTCAGACTTGATTAGGGATAGAAAAAGTGATTGGTTTAAAAATTTTGATTTTGGATTGCGTCCTTTTGTGGATGTATGTCTGTCTTCACTGCATGTGTCCTCAAACAAGTAGACCACATTTATACATTTTCTTCTAAATCTGAAGTGGTGTTAAAAAAGCTGGCTCGGTATTATCCTTGAAAGAAGAAAAGGAGCAGGGTTTCTTGGATGCAGAACTCTGGATCTGGTGACTTAACAAGGATACTTGCCTACTGTCTTCTTTCCTACTCTGTTGAGGAATAAAATAAAAGGAAAAATTTTATTTTAAATGAAAAATTATCCCAAGAATATGCCAATGCATGTTAATGCTGGTCTTAACAAACTGCAGGTCTCAAAGTTTTGGTATCTGCTTAGTGAAAAGGGAAGAATAAGGAATTTAAAAGCATTTCTGTAGTTTTGAAAACCATTACCTTTAAAAAAAAAAAAAAGCAAGATATTGTAACAAAACTGATGCTTATGACTTCAACTTAAAGTGAATTTTCATTAAGATTTCAAAAGACTTAAGATTGACACAAAAGCCAGCTACGGGCAAATCTGAAGTTCTTTGTGCAAAGCATGAACTCTCTAGAGTTTGGCCAGTAAAGCTGTAAATTTTGCTTTTAAAATATGGAATACCTTTCTACAACCTGACTTCAGGAAAATCTTTATGTGGATTTTCCCTCTAGCTTTTAATCTGAAACAGTGGATCCAAGAAACTCCTATATATGTGTGTATATGCACATATGCACATATCTATATATACACATATATACATATACATACATACACACATATATAAATATAAAGCCTGAGAAAGTTACCCAGAAAATGAATTTACAGCTGAATATTTAGCTTTAGGTGATATTAAACCCAACTGCAAACACGGGAACTCAAAAGAAATTGCCAGTTCTGTCTACAATTTATAATAATGGCTATGCAGTTTATCATCATAATGTATCTTTTTTGGCATTCTGTTCTCGTTGTGTTCTAATTTGTATCTTTTGGGTGTTGTGGGGCAGTTTTCCATTGCTTGCCATTTGACAACCAGACAGTACCTTTTATTGGAGCGAAAATAACGTTCAAGGCTAAAATCAAAGGTACTTGACAACAATGAGCTCTTCTGATGTTTTGGAAAGAAACAGAGAGTAGTGTCATTAATAAGCTCTCATGATAGCAAATTCTAAATATATCCATACCTTTTATTCAGGTATAATAGTGCCTAATGTTGAGAATGTTTATTGAAAAGTTGAAATTCCTGCCTGAATGGTCAAAATGGATTGGTAGTATGAGTGAAGCTATTATCTTACTTGCAGAATATTATTGAATGTATTTGCTATCCCTAACATAATATAATTATGAATGTTAGTGCAGATGCATTTCCAGCCTTTCTCTCCCTCAGCCTCCAACTGGATAAAAATAGTCTTCAGCCTTCATCTTGCACCTTTCAGTAAGGTAGTCGTAACGAGTGTTATTAAAGACCAGATCTTTAAAGAATATTTTAGATCAGCGAGGGACGCGAATAGGTAAGATCATGAATGAGGTCCATTCATGGTACATGCCTTTCAGGCTTGACCCTTACTGTTAATCTAGAACAGTTTTCCCGCAAAGCTTTTTGGTGGTTTCAGGAATATACATTTTGATGGTCTTAACTATAGTGGGATATTTTCATTATAAGCTCGGGCTTCAGCAGCATGAGACAAACACTTCACAGTTCACTTGAGAACCAACCCACAGGTTAGGCATGTCTCAAAAACTAACTACTCTTTGGAGTAAGAAATTCTATATTTCAAGTTGGAGCTACATTTTCAGTTGTTGCCATCTCCACGGAGACTAAGGGAGCCTTGTGCAAGACTTTGCAGTGTTGTGGGAGTCGTTATCTAAATGTGGTGTGGGCAAAGTTCTCCCTCTTCATGTGCTTTGGACTCCATCATGCAAACACAGGGATGTCAGTGCCTGTATACGATCATAAAGCACTCACATCTGTGAATGATATCTTTCAAATGATCTAGTTGTCATTGTTAGGTGACAAAGGTAGGGATGATGTTAACCCAGTGTTCTTAAGAAAAAGAATCTGGAGCCACCTCCTGGCAAAATAATGATGCTGAAAAATTGTACTATTGGCTGTCAATGTAAAAGATGATTATTTCACCACACTTCTTTCCTGTTGACTGGCAAGGACAGTGATGCGCTTTAGTCTTCAGTGCATCCTTGTTGCTTTGCCCGCTTTATTAGTATATAATTTTAAATATAGTTTAATTTGTCAGCTTTTCTCTATGATCCAGGGAAAAACTGTTAACCTAGCATTGAGTTATGTTAAATGACAACGGATCTGATGTCATCAGCATGTGAAAGGTGCTGTTATTCATATTGCCATAATGACTTTTCTGGTCTTACCCACAGTAAGACACTTTATCAATCTGTAAAATATGAATTAATCATTAGTGCCATCTTGATTTCTCTTTCAGATTTAAACAGTTATTTTAACTGTGGCCTGAGATTTTCCTTCTAAGAACAGGCTTTTGATGTCTTAGTGTGTAACAAAGTTCCTAATATCTACATGGTCAATTATTGATGTCTTTTTGGATATTACTGTGCAGTCACTTCAGTCAGCTTCTTATGCAGAAGGCCTTTGGCGGGGATGAGGAGGCCAGAGGAAAGAGATGTTTAAGCAAAGAATATTTGCTTGTTTGTGTCACATTTGTTATATAAAAGACTGCTTAGCTAAGTACAATGCCTAGACATTGTATTTAACTAGTGTACAGCACAACAGCTTAGAGTTGGATATCAATTTGCATATTCTACCTTAATGTATTAGCAATTGAAGTCAAATTAACAAGATATCTTGTCAAAAGCAAAAACATTCTTCAATTAAAGAAGTTAAATAAGTTTCATGTTTAACTAATATACTGCACTAAATAGAAAAAAGCATACTCCATTGAATTTTAATGTTACATAGTGAATCTAGTTAAGAGATACTGATATTGTAATTTATTTCCTACCTTGGGACTTACTGGCTTAAATAACCTCTTTATGACAGGAAGAACATTACTGCAGAATATAACTACTGTGGTGCTTCAGCAAAGCTGTATTTCATTTTGTATTTGTAAAATCTGAAAATTGCAGTAATGCATATAAATGTGAATGAGGCTGATATGATGGGGTAAATGTGCCGTGAAGTCTGGAGAGTGCCATGTACAGTTCCAAAGCAGTTTTTATAATTGCAGTAAGCAACCCAAAGAATTAAGTGCAGAACTTTGTGAAGCTATTCTGGACTGGGAAAGAAAACTCTCACCGATTATAATACTTTATTATCAAAATAGTTAATTTAGCTAAAGTAATGAAAGAGAATGTGAGAGTGTTATACAATTTATGTTGGCCTAATCTATAGCAACTGAGAAAATTTGATTGCAGTTGCGTGGCATTTTACATGGCAACAACAATTTCCAGAAGACCTAAATAAATAATAAATTTAAATTCCATTTTCAAAAATAACTTAAACATGAGCTTAATTTATCTTTGCTTTCAATGTGTTTAAAGTACTAAATACATTTGAATTTTTACCCTACATTCATGAGCAACTTTCTAATACAGTTTATATTTCAAAAATATGTAACTTTGAATTCAAATCTATTGAGACCCTATCTACAGGTATCATCTCTATTCGGGACATAGCTGGTTCTTTTATACGTAGTTTCTTTTACAGTTCTTAGTTTGATGATTAAGAATGGAAGGGCCTGCTTGATCTGTTACATGGGTATTAAAACTTTTTTCCTAGCTAAGCAATACAGATTTCAGTGAAACATGCCAATGATTCTTTGATAAAACTCCTTTTACATCCAAAGATAAAATGTCAATAGTTTCGGCATTAAATTGTTGCATCAAACACATCTTAATGATATCTCACTGTTGTTGTTCTCACCATAGCTAATTATACTATGTGTAATTTTGAAACTGACTTTTGTGGATGGAAGCCACTAAGTACCGCTGATGCTCAGTGGAATATAATGAAAGGACAGGCTCCCCTTGACGCAAGACTCCGTGACCAGGATCATACAACTAATACTGAACATGGTGAGATTTTTTTTATTATTATTTATTTTTCTCCTTCTGTGATGAGTGTTCATACTTGTTAAAGGATGTCAGACTGATGAATTTAGATTAAAAATATATAACAGAGGTAACATATTATAGAGACCTGATCTTTCAGCCCTGCTCTTTCTTAGATTTCATCTTTGTGATTTGGTTACTGTGCCTTTGCAACCATCACTTTTTGGTGGACAGTCAATGAGGTGTGCTGCTTTCAACTTTTTCAAATATTGCCCATTGAACTTACACAGCCAGCTTTGTTCACATGTACAATAAACACCTTTATATTCAATATTCACTCAGAAGTCATTCTTGAAAAAATACTTGGACAAAATTTTCACTGCAGCTTTTTGCAGAGTGCAGGTAAATTTATCAGTTTTGTTCAGGACAAATAGAGCAAATGTAATATCCTTGGAACAGTTATTCCACCATGAGCCCCGAACTGATATAAAATGCATTCCGCTGAAAAAAGCTGATTCCAACAGAGGACTGGTTTAAAGTTTTTTCCAAAATGAAAATGATATTATGGTGTGCTATATAACACTGAAACTCAGGACTGGAAGAAAGCCAATGTCACCCCAGTCTTCAAAAAGGGCAAGAAGGAGGAGCCAGGCAACTACAGGCCTGTCAGCCTCACCTCCATCCCTCGAAAGGTGAAGGAACAGCTCCTCCTGGAGGTCATCTCAAAGCATGTGAAGGACAAGGAGGTGATCAGGAGTAGTCAGCATGGATTCACTAAAGGGACATCATGCTTGACCAATCTGATAGCCTTCTCTGATGGAATGACTGGCTGGGGAGATGAGGGGAGAGCAGTGGATGTGGTCTCCCTGGACTTCAGCAAGGCTTTTGACACCGCCTCCCATCACATCCTCACAGGTAAACTCAGGAAGTGTGGGCTAGATGAGTGGACAGTGAGGTGGATTGAGAACTGGCTGGATGGCCGAGCTCAGAGGGTTGTGATCAGTGGTGCAGAGTCTAGTTGGAGGCCTGTAGCTAGTGGTGTCCCCCAGGGGTCAGTCCTGGGTCCAGTCTTGTTCAATATATTCATCAATGACCTGGAGGAAGGGACAGAGTGCACCCTCAGCAAGTTTGCTGATGATACTAAACTGGGGGGA